TATTTAGAATTCTATCGACATGTAGCTCGTGACTTTGAAAATAGAGATATGAACAACATACCTCTATAATTGTATGATATTGTTTAGTTTGAGTATAAACTCTCTTGTTATGCCAAAAAATCTTGTATTAATGGAGATAGTGTACCTTACATGTCAATGATCTTCTTAGTTAGCCACCGATTGATTTCAACAATCATTAACATCATGAATACATACCTATTTTTATGATTTAGCCTTTTGGTTCAGCATTAATTATGGATTTATTTTAATTTAGGATCATCTAATTTCTGGATCTTTAGAGCTTGAGTTTGATAGCATTTTGATCGAACTCAACTTTTGGTCCATTTTTCTGGTATTGTAACCAGCAGGTGATGTGACAATGCTATCAAACCCAATCCCGGATGGTTTAAATATCGGATTTGAAAAATGAGTGACTAACATGTTACAAAATTCAAACTTTAACGATCGAAAGCATAATTTTTTCACCAAAAAATGGTTGATCACCTTCATTTGAACAGATCTATACAACTAACTCAATTTTTAGTGATATCAACTTTGACAAAACTAACTCACACCCTAATAAAAAATAAGAGAGGGAGTAGCAAAAATTACATGAAGCTAAGTTAGATTTAAACTATGAAGCCAAAAAAGAATACTAAGCTACAAATAAAGCATTTGTAATTACATTCCAATCCCACTTGATGAGCCTATTGTGCCATTTGGCTGCTGTCTCCTTTTGGCATTTTCTTAAGAAGATCACTATATCCATCAGCAGAACTGATAGCAAATTCAGTCAGTGAGCTCATAGCAAATGACAGCCCAGCACACAGCACCCTTATGGCTACTTCCGCCATTTTTTCTCCACTCATCACCTCTTCAACCTTCCCAAACTCTACCATCTCCATGTTCCCCCCTGATTCTTCGAATCTCTTCGACCCGACTCGAACGCGGTGAGGGTCGTCTCTTTGCTGTTGTTGTGCGTGGAGCGACCCCATTCCAGCAGCAAAGAAGTCGAGCCCGTCTAGCACTGCCTTCTCTTGAACATCATCCAAGAACCTCTTCCATTGGATGCAAAGTCCAAATATTGGAAGTGCAGATGCATTCGATCTACGAGGTGAAAATGGAGGCTTCGTAGTGTCGGAGGAATCCGAATTTACACACCGGAGGAGCCATCCAGTTATTGCGTGCACATAGGATCGCTGAGAAGTGATCCATGACTCGAAACAGCTTCGCCAGTTCCTGAGCTCTATCTCGAGATTGGCTGATGCACGCGCTAACCAAGTTGGCTCAATGACTGGCGCTGAAGAGAGCTTTCTACTGTCCGACTTCGACGGTATACCGGCGAGTAGAAGCTTTGCTTCATCTAAAGCTCGCTTCTGTAATTGATGGCATTTTGCCATTACTTTCCACATCCTTGCTAACCTGTGTAATCATACGAAGTATTGGTTGTTGATTATCTCAGTATAACTATAGAGATGTCCAACAATGGAGACTTACCCTTCAACCAATTCTAGAAGTTGAGGCTGCAACTCTTCATCTCTTAAAGTTTCGATTCTTTTCGCCACAGCTTCGACCGAGTGAATCGAAACCTTTATCTGAGTATGGAGACCTCTCATGGCAGATCTTGTTTTTTCCACTGAAGACGGATCGTCGCCTTTTACATCTTGGTTCTTGAGTTGATTACATTTCTTCTCGTACGCGATTCGAATCTTTTCTCCAGACTGTTTAATAAGAAGGAAACTATAAAGATCAGAAACATCCACAGGATTCATTGAAAGTAGAAATTAGAAGTCAGGAGAGGATTTGAGCTACACACCCTCACTTCCTGGTAGAGCTTTTTCTCCCAAGCATATAATCGATCCAATGTCGATTGATGACCGTGTGAAAATGAGCTGGATTCTTCTGGTACGTTGCCATTGCTCTCGTAAGCACTTTCGTCCTTAGTTGCTGAAGAGCTGATTAGATATCTCGATGAGGAAGAACGAGATGAAGTCGAGCGGAATAGAGCTACTGGGTTCAACATTTTCATTGCTGCAAGGAGAAATAAGACTTCATGAATTGGATTATGGTCAAATGACTTAAGTAAGGGAATTAGATTGAAGTGTTAATGTATCCAACCTGAAGGTTCATTTGAAGTGGCCATATATGGAGCTTTTCTAGCCTCTAAAAGTGCTGAGACCTCATTTGCTGAATTGCAAACTGCTATAAACTGAGCTTCCAGTTCTTTGATTACCTCTGCCATGCTCGTCGGTTTTCGGTTCACATAAACAGTAAAACCCGGTGTTTCTTCCTTGGATTCGGGATCGGCTACTCCTGATTCTTGGCTTGTACTTGCAATAGGTCCAGCATTCTGGAGCCTTGATACATCAATCTTCCCTTCCGGTTCAAGATCCATCTCACTTCCATTGTTTGTTTCCTCCTCGTCCTCGTCCTCGTCCTCGTCCTCGTCCTCGTCCTCATCCTCGTCCTCGTCTTCTTCGTCCTCATCCACGTCCTCAACAACAACTTCCTCTCTACAACAACTTTGGCTAGCTCGTGTTCTTTCTTCGGGGACGTTTACTCTATTGCTATTGTCTTCCTGCTCAGTTTCATCTTCTTCCAGTTCAGGAATCCCTTCTTCTTCTCTAACTTGTCTTAGCCCTCGTATCTCATCGTCGATTGCCATATGATTGAGACCAATGTTCGAGGGGTAGCCATAGTTATCCAAAGACGAAAACGGGTTCCAGAAAAAGTCCCATTGCGAATGTTCGGGTGATGGGGGAGGGATATTTGGTCTGTTGTTAGGAGAATAAGAGAAGAATGAGGAATTCATTGGTGAGGATTGCATTGGGAAGAAGCCATCAAATCCATACTGATTCATTGGTGAATAAGATTGAACTCTCACAGTTTCAGGTGATTGAGGTCTCTCTTCTACAGAAACTGCCCCATTCCCTCCTGATCTAAGGTAATTTACTCTCACCACTCTATTCGGTTTAGATTCGATAGGAAGCGTCGAGAACGAATTCGGCGTTATGGATATAAAACCAGGACTTGTTTTCTTTACAGATGTGTAAGGGGGTGTAATGAAGGAATCTAACAACTGCTCACGAGGCTCGTATCCATCGACATACTCACGAAGAGCGGCAGATACTCGTTTCAATGACTGAATGTAGGCTAGATGTCCACAAGCAAATAGTCTCCTCTGCTCAACAGCTTGTTTGATAAAACTCTTCCGATCTTTACAAAGTTTAACTGCCTCTTCATCTTCCAGCTTTGACATGGAACATCCCATATCTCAATTTCTACCCTTTCTTCAAACTTTTCGTACACTACGAATTCGTCAAGCTCGAATCGAAACCAAAATCACAAGGATATTGCTGTGTGTTTCTTGCCAGATTCATAAGGTTTCTCTTGGCTGTTCAGGCAAAAGCAATGCCAAATTCACACACAGAACAAGAACCAGGAAGAACAACAGGGAATCAAGATCCTATTTCAAATCAAAACCAACAGAAATGGAGGATTCTACAACATATTTGAGTATACAGAGAGGAGGGTTTAGAGGATTAATGCTTTTCTTGATTTAGAAGTTAAAGAACACAAAAAAAGAACAAAAGATTCTATTGAGGAGTTGTCAAAGATTTCAGCTGAAACAACAGGAACCTCTAATCCTTAACTTGCCAGTTCGAAATTCAAAAGGAAACTGATGAGATATATTATATTATGAACCAAAAAACAAAAGGATAGCAATATAAAATTACAAAATAATGAAAAGAAAGTCAAAAACAGGCAGAATGAAGAATGATGACTGTCATATTTCGAGCTTAGCAAAACACAAAAAAAGAAGATAAAGGGCTCAAAGTAAAGGACCCATTTGCAGACTTCACATGGAGAAACCGATCAAATATCAAATTACAAATAAACCCCTCTCTGTTTCTCTCTCTCTCTCTACAAAGTGGTCTGAGACATTCATTGAGAAGGAGAAGAGAGCGAGAGAGTGAACAAAAATTTAGAGTTTCACAAGAAATATAGAAACGATGTTCTTATTTCCTCAAGAAAACAATAGCAACCCAGAAGAGGAAATGTAGAGAAAAAAGCACATAATCCCTGAACATAGCAAACATAGCAATCCGGAACAGAAAAAAACACTTAATCCCTGAAAATTTACAGTTCAACAACAAATATTTCAGCAAGGTTATAGCAACCTAGAAGTAAATGTTGAGATAAAATCACATGATCCCTGAAAGATTACAATTCATCAAGCAATACAGAAGAAATATCGTTATCCCCACGGAAAACTATGACAGCCCAGAAGAACAAATGATGACGAAAAGCATAAAATCCCTAAGAATTCATAGTTCAACAACAAATACTGAAGCAATGTTACGATTTCAACAGAAAACAATAGCAACCCAGAAGAACAAATGATGAGAAAAAGCACAAGATCCCTAAGAATTCATAGTTCAACAACAAATACTGAAGCAATGTTACGATTTCAACAGAAAACAATAGCAATCCAGAAGAACAAATGATGAGAAAAAGCACAAGATCCCTAAGAATTCATAGTTCAACAACAAATACTGAAGCAATGTTACGATTTCAACAGAAAACAATAGCAACCCAGAAGAACAAATGATGAGAAAAGGCACAAAATCCCTAAGAATTCATAGTTCAACAACAAATAGTTCATCGATCTTAATATATTCACAGAAAACTATGGAAACCCAGAAGAAAAACTAGAGAAAAAAACACAAAATCATTGAAGTACCTGGTGGGATGAATGAATCACGGCCGGCGGGAAGGAACAGAGAATAGTGTAAGAATGCTTGATCACACACTGCCACTGACAGAGACGATCATGAAGGTAGAGAGAGAAATGGGGGGTTTTAGAAGAAAAGCAACGGTCAAAAAACCCAGAATGGAGAAGAAGAAAATCACGGAAGAGCACAAACAAAACGATTCATTCACGTCGAAGTAGCTCATTAAACAAAACTCAGGTAGAGAGAAATAAAGGAGAGAATATGATCCCTCCAATACTACCCTTCTTTCTCCCTTTTATTTCAATAATGCCATTCCCACGTGGCATTAAATTCGTTATTAAATTTTTTAAGTCCATTCTAAAATATTTAGACCAAAATATATTATTCTAATAATACTAATTTAATATAAATTCAGTGTACATAATTTTTTTAATAATTTAATATTTTATAATTTTATTTTCATAATTTATTTTAGTATTAAATATTATTTTTCGATTTTAAATTGAAATACTTGAATTTATTTTGAAAAAAAGAAAATTATGTAGTTGATAGTGCTTTTGAAATTATATAAATAAAATAATTTTATTTTTACATTAATGGGAATTTTGGTTTAAATTTCTTTTATTTCTCCAAAACTTTCCAAATTAATTAATTTTGGAATTATGTTAAAAAAAAAGAATGTCAAAAGTTCAGTCTTTTTCTTATAATTTTTTAAATAAAAATATATTATTGAGTGAGTGGAAATGCAAATTCTCAATTTTAATTTGAAATTGGGAAAGGAATATGCTCATCGTAACAGAAAGTGGGGGAAAAAACAAGAGATTTTTGTTTTTATGACGTCATTCTTTATCTTAGTGAATATATTCCCAATTCCCTTTAATAAAAATTTAAATAATTTTATATTAGGTATGTGACACTTTGTAAAGGAGAGATATATGAATGAATCGAGACCACATCTAAATAAGAGTGATAATGAAGATAGGATAATTAAAATAGACTTAAAAAAATTGTGAGTCGTTATTTATACTAATAAGATGCGTATCCTTTGGTGGTTCAAACAATGGAACCATTCGGGAGATCTTAAAAAAAACATTTTCTAGAATGCATGTGATGATCGAAAAACTCGCGTTGGTTTGTGACTCAATTAATATAAAAAACATATTTTAGATTATACATGGAATTGAAATTCTTTTAGTCAGTTTACGAATATTTTGTAAGTTATCATTCGTTTTTAGTTTATTTCAAGTCGAATGATAGGACAATTCTAATCTTGAGAATATAAAATTATTCTCTTTAATATTCTTATCTTTGTGCATATTTGTCTCTAAGTTCAAATGAACAGCACCAAAATTTGATTGGTACTATACTCGATCTCATTGATATATATTATATTAGGTTGGATAAGGTTTCAATTCTATTTGGTTAGCTTTAAATTTGAGGCTGCATTGTAGTCGTACTTTTCGTAGTTATTGTGTGTAGGCTACTATAGAGTGTAGTTGTCACACATTGCTAAGCCTAGTGGTTGCCATTGTCAACAACACGTGCAATCGAGAGCAAGGTGAATTTAACGTCACTAGAGGAACGTATGTTGAATGCAAGATGTTAGGAACTCTTGGATTTTGATCGAAAAACCTTATTAAAGAGCAAGATCTCTAGATCTAAATTATTAAAATGGAAAAGATTACCTTAATGATCAAGATTAAAGAGAACTCGTGTCTGATAAAGAAAGGTTTTTATATAAAAGAAAGGTCATACTTGAACACTCCTGACTTTCCATTGCCATTCTTGAACTCCCGACGTCCCGTTGTAATTCTTGAGCTCCCTAACTCTTGATGCCATTCTAGAACTCCCTAACTCCCGTTGTCATTCTTAAACTCTCGTTGCCATTCTTGAACTCCCGACCTTCCGTTGCCATTCTTGAACTCCCAAACTCTTGTTAACATTCTTGAACTCCCAACCTTTCATTGTCTTTCCTGAACTCTAGAACTCCCATTGTCATTCTTGAACTCCCGAACTCCTGTTGCCATTCTTGAACTCTCAAACTCTCGTTGCCATTCTTGAACTCTCGACCTCCCGTTGAAATTCTTGAACTCTCGACCTCCCATTGCAATTCTTGAACTCCAAACTCCCGTTGCCATTCTTGAACTCCTGAACTCCCGTGTCATTCTTGAGCTTCTGAAATCCCGTTACCAATCTTGAACTCCAAACTCCCGTTGCCATTCTTGAACTCATGTTGCAATTTTTGAACACCCAAACTCCTATTGTCATTCTTGAACTCTCGAACTCCCGTTGCCATACTTTAACTCCAAACTCCCATTGTCATTCTTGAATTCCCAAACTCCTGTTGCCATTCTTGAAATCTCGAACTCCCGTTGCCATTCTTGAAATCTCGAACTCCCGTTGCCATTCTTGAAATCTCAACCTCTCGTTGTCATTCTTGAACTCCCGACCTCCTGTTGCCATTCTTGACTCTTGAACTCCCATTGCCATTCTTGAACTTTCGAATTGCAATTTCTGAACACCCGAATTCCTGTTGCCATTCTTGAACTCCCAAACTCCCATTGCCATTTTTGAACTCCTGACCTCCCATTGCCATTCTTGAACTCTAAACTCTCATTGCCCTTCTTAAACTCCTGAACTTTCGTTGCCATTCTTGAACTCCAAACTCCCGTTGCCATTTTTGAACTCCTGTTGCAATTTTTGAACTCCTGAACTCTCGTTGTCATTCTTGAACTCCTGAACTCCTATTGCCATACTTAACTCCCAAACTTTCGTTTCCATTCTTGAACTCCCGACCGCTCGTTCACATTCTTGAACTCTTGAACTCTTGAACTCTCGTTGCCATTTTTAAACTCCCATTGCAAGTCTTGAACTCCTGAACTTCCATTCCCATTCTTGAACTCCCAACTTTCCGTTGCCATTCTTGAACTCTCGAACTCCCATTGCCATTCTTGAACTCCCAACCTTCTGTTGTCATTCTTGAACTCCCGACCTCCCGTTTCATGCTCTAGTTTGTTAGTACAAGTAGAAGGCTCTTTGAAATTTGTGAAAGAATACTTGCAGCGCATCTGTTGAACAAAGCTCCTTGAAAGTCTTTCGACAATTATTTATGACAACTGAAGAAAGGAGGGGTACATGAATGAACCGAGACCACATCCGAGTGAAAGCGATCCTTAAGATAGAAGGACTAAGAAATACTTAAAAGAATTGAACGTCACTACCTATAACTACAAAAAAACCACCTTCCTGTTTTATGGCTTAATAATAGGAACTTCATAATTAAACATGTTTTCGTGAAGCAATTCGATGTTGGTTGACCTCTTGAAAATTTTCTTAGGATACATGTAAGTAATGATAAAACATTCTTGAACTCCTGAATTCTCATTACCCCGGTTGAAAGCTTGAACTCCCATTGCCATTCTTAAATTTCTAAATTTCCATTGAACCTCGAACTCCTATCGCCATTCTTGAACTCTCATTACCATTGACGATATCCGGTTGGCGTTGGTTCTCCATAGCTAGGGCACTCAACATTGTAGTTGGAGTAGCATTCCTTGCGGGAGATCAAGTTACACGTTGCGTCCTTTTGAGGCTACTCAAATGACTCTAGCATGCAAATCTAAATACAAGAAATGTATAGGAAAAAACTTTCATTATAATATCCAAAATCATCTGGCTATGAACGACTATTTATAGCCTTGAAAATAAATACCATAATTACCACTAACAAAATCTTAAAAATAAGATTCTAAAATTGATAGTACAACTTTTTCATCCGCGGTGAAGTTTTTGTGGTATGATTAAGACATTCGATTACAAGAGGCACTAGGGTTTTGCATATGGTTTACATACATTGTGTTGAAGGTTGGATTGGTTCAGTTAGGCTGACATCATTTAGTTCGATCTAGTTCAACAAGATCGATTTGGTTCAACAAATTTAGTTTGGTTTTTAAGGTCAATATATTTAAGTTTCCTTTGTTTTAAGCTAGAATTTTCTTCGTTAAGACTAACTTGGGGCGTTCGGTTAGAAATTGACAAGTAAAAAATGCAATTGAAAGTCACTACCTCTACCAACAGAAAACCACCTTCTTTTTTTGTGACTCAATCATAGGAACTTTGTGGTTGAATGTGTTTTGTGTGGAGTAATTTTTTAGGATACATGTGAGTTAGGACATTCTCGTGTCAATATATCAAAATTGTCTTCATTTTTAAGAAGCGAAAAGTTGGCAATGTGACGATATCGCAGAAGAATACCGGGGTCATCAGGTGCAAAATCTGAATTCCAAATCCTGGGTATAGGTCATTACATTATCAGTTTCGAAGGGACCCACCATTTTACTACTTGAAGAGGGTCCAACATAGCAGAAGATCACGACTTTTGTGAGTGTTCGACACAATATGGTACAATATGCCACTAGCCTAAATGAGGCACACAAGAGATATGGGCGCGATCTCAAGATCTCAATTTAATACGAGCGTGTATAGTAGATTAATTTTCATTGAGTTAACATAGGGAGCAAACAATTCAATCATTAATGTTCATGCTATTTCACCTTCCGACAATTATATATATATATATATATATATATATATATATATATATATATATATATATATAGATAATATATTTTAAGAATAAATTTGAAATATTTTTAATTTTGTGTGACATTATTGCTGACGACACAACAAATCAGCTAAGATTATGTACGATGTCTGAGGGAACGGGGGTGGTGCCAGTTACAGCCGGAAGTGATCCTGAGCCGTCAGATCAGTTCAAATGGTGATGGGCACTGCGATTGGCCAGGTCAAACAACACCCATCTGTCCGATTCTAATCAGGACACGTGTACGGCGAGAGATCGGAGGGGAATAATTATTATTAAGAAGAATTATAAAAAAGAAAAAAGCAAAATAAAGTGAGACAGAAAAAGTAAAAGAAATAAAATCTGGTCCCACACAGAAAGAGGAGCCCTCAGCCTTATCGATTCTCGTAAATAGAAAAATGCCCCTATTTTCATCTTAAATATCGAATATGCCCCTCTGGAAAATATTGAAAATTTAAAATAATAATAGTATATATTTTTTTTAATAATTTACATGTAAATGAGAATTTTAAAATATAATAACATTTTCCTTATAAATTAGTTCCTATTATTTTATCAATAATTAATTTAATTTTTAATCCTATTATCTAACTGTTTTTGAATAAATATTCCATAAAATAATTTATTTTTTCCCGAAATAAATAGAAATTTATCTGTATGAATTTATCATTATAATTGTTTTATAATAAATGTATATGATTTTTGTGTAGAATTTGTTTGGTCAAAGCTATGATAATCAATTTATTTTCGGTTTTTTTTATTAAAAAATTGAATTTACGATTTTATCCCTTCTTTAAATGCTAATTATAATTTGGAAGGGCTTCTCTATGGATAAGTTTAATTAATCCTTTTGTCTTCCTTATCTTTTTCATACCATTATAAAACTATTATTTATATTCTATATTTACCGTCAAACCATATAAATATTAATAGTTTATTATCCTCTTTTTATTTATTTATATATTTTTAATTCCACGAGAATTTAGACTCATCTCTTAATATGTGATACATATATTTATACGTGATACATATATTTATATGTGAGTGGGATGAAATTTAGGTGAGTTTGGAAGGTAGGACAACATGAACAAAGAATATAATCCGTCTTCGGCCCTGTTTAGTTCACGGACCACTCCCAATTTTTTATTTAAACAGAGATTTTTCACCCTATTCAAAATGAATTTTCGTAGTTTAATTGATGCAGGTAAATTGAGTAATGCACGTTGATTATTTATATTTATATTAAAATTTGATTATTTATTTAAAATGTTTAGAACTTTTGCATTATTAAAAATATATGATTTCTAAGAAATAAAATATTGTCAGGATTGACGTTTCGTAATAGGGTCTAATTAATTTATACCTTTTTAATTTTAAAAAATAACTTTTGAAAATAATAGATTTGGAACAAGTTGGTCACCAAACTCCCACCTCTCCCTCACCCTATGAATTGAAACTTTTTTATAATTAATTTCTTTTCTTAATGGAATAAAATTTAAAATAAAATATGAAGTCGTCATCATTAATTATTTAAATTTTAAATATTTTTAATTGCTAAATCTTGCCATTAGCAAAATCCTTTTTTCTTTTAATTTTGTAGAAATTTTGGGATGAAATTATTAAAAAAAATTGTAGATCAACCAATGCAATAATGATATCATAAAGCTAATAAATAATTTTAGAAAATAAGTTAAAATATACATACCTTTCATCTCCGAGAAATGATACTATATAATATAAAAAAATTTTAACCTTCAATTTAATGACTTATAGTGCTCGTTACATGATGTGACAATTTCATTAATTTTATACTTCAATAAAGTTTACGTGGCAAATTTCGATTATAGATGAATATTTGTCTCGATCGAAGATGTTTTAGAGATAATTAGTAATTAAAAGCGATATATATATTATTCAAATTAAATGTTTGAAAATGCGAAATCAATCCTATAATTTAAGGATAACTTTTTCACACATATTTATCTTATCCTATATATATAATAAGACAAGCGACATTAATGTTTGGTAATATGTACATATTTTATTTTTAAGATATTACAGTGATGTCACACTATCAATACTGTTGAACTCGAAATTTGTTTGCTAGCATTAGTAAACTATTTATTTATTTTCACTATATTTTAAGGATTTTGTGGCGGAAATATCATTGAGAAATTTTTTTAAAGTAAAAGTGTATAAGATCATTATTTAACTGGATTTCATTTTTAAATTTGTCATGAACGGGAATATTCATATGCTTGCAATCACAGATGAAATACTGATTAATCATCCAGTAACATTGAAAAATAAAAAATATCATCATTAACATGAGACTCTTGCCTTTACCTGAAAAAATGTGAAATAATAATAAAATGAATATTTAAAAATATTTCATGATCGACCAAAAAGTTGGGCCTTAAAAGATCCTAACAGGCTCATTGGGCCTCAAATAAGGAAGGCCGAAAATCCAAGTCAGAAAAGTTGGGCCTTAAAAGATCATAACAGGCCCATTGGGCTAAAATAAGGAAGGCCCAAAATTCATGAGCGACCAAAAAGTTGGGCCTTAAAAGATCCTAACAGGCTCATTGGGCCTCAAATAAGGAAGGCCGAAAATCCAAGTCAGAAAAGTTGGGCCTTAAAAGATCATAACAGGCCCATTGGGCCTAAAATAAGGAAGGCCCAAAAATCGAAGAGTCAATTTCTGTTATATAATTCCAATTTCCCCCTCTCGTTTTAAAGCTCAAAAGGAATGCTGAGAATAAAATCTTCTCCACATCTCATTTCCCGCTATCTCAACTTCGACAAAACACATTCAAAACCGAATCCCAATCGTCAAGCTTTTTCCGAAAAGCTTGTCACTTTCTTGCAACAATGTGTAAGCATCAAACAATTGAAGCAAATCCACAACCAGATGCTCACGAACTCAATTCACAAACCCAATTCGTTTCTCTACAAAGTTGTCGACCTCAAAGATTTCGCCTATGCGTCGGATTTCTTCTCCAAGATTCTCGAGCCCACCGAGTACGCTTTCAATGTCATGATTCGTGGCCTCTCGACGACTTGGAATAAGTCTTCTCTTGCCCTTGAATTCTATTCTCGAATGAAATTTCTGGGTTTGAAACCCAATAAGCTCACGTACCCATTTCTGTTTATTGCGTGTTCGAATCTTTTGGCTGTTGAAAATGGACGGGTGGGTCATTCTTCTGTGATTAAACGTGGGTTGGATGAGGATGGTCATGTGAGTCATTCTTTGATTACGATGTATGCGAGGTGTGGGGAAGTGGGTGATGCACGGAAGGTGTTTGATGAAATTCCTGAGAAGGATTTGGTTTCGTGGAACTCTATGATTTCGGGTTACTCGAAGATGAGGCATGCTGTTGAGGCCGTGGGTCTGTTTAGAGATATGATGCAAGCTGGGTTTGATCCCAATGAGATGACTTTAGTTAGTGTCTTGGGGGCTTGTGGAGAGCTGGGGGATTTGAAACTTGGCACTTGGGTGGAGGAGTTTGTGGTGGATAATCGGATGGTGTTGAATTCTTATATGGGTTCTGCATTGATCCATATGTATGGGAAATGTGGCGATTTAGTGTCAGCAAGGAGGATTTTTGACTCTATGAAGAAGAAAGATAAAGTTACCTGGAATGCCATGATTACTGGGCAAGTGAATCACCCACCTTCGCTTTGAATCTATACTTTATGTTATACTCTCTCTCTAGTATAAAAGGTTTCAATTTAGTCTCTTATATTCAAAAACTTTCAAAAAAACCATTTTTGTTAGTGATGTTAGATATGGCTCATGATTAACTAATGTGGTATGATACTAAATGAATTTGCACAAGGACTTGGAGGAGGAATTCAGCCACTAAGCTCAGATATTAGTGACTAAATCATGTACTTTGTTTAGATAATAATGTCCCTCTCTGTTCTAAAGTTTATGAAATCTTATTTTTTTTCTTCTCCTCCAATCAATCAAATGCAGATATGCGCAGAATGGAATGTCAGAGGAAGCTATCAAATTGTTCCAGGACATGAGAATAAGCAGCACAGCTCCAGATCAAATCACATTGGTAGGAACGCTTTCTGCCTGTGCCTCCATTGGAGCCCTTGACTTGGGGAAGCAAGTCGAGATCTATGCATCGGAAAGAGGCTTGCGAGACAACATTTATGTTTCTACTGCATTAGTTGACATGTACGCAAAATGTGGAAGCTTGGACAATGCATTTAGAGTTTTCGATGTCATGCCTCAGAAAAATGAGGTGTCCTGGAATGCTATGATATCTGCTCTTGCTTTCCATGGTCAAGCTCAAAAAGCCTTGGCATTGTTCGAATCCATGATCAAGGAGGGTGGAGCTGCTTCTCCCAATGACATCACATTTGTAGGAGTACTTTCTGCTTGTGTTCATGCAGGATTAGTTGACGAAGGACGTCGGTTCTTTCACATGATGAGTTCATCATTTGGATTGGTACCGAAAATTGAGCATTACTCGTGTATGGTCGACCTTTTGTCACGAGCAGGACATTTGGAAGAAGCTTGGGACTTTGTCAAGAAGATGCCCGAAAAACCAGATGAAGTTATTCTCGGAGCATTGCTTGGTGCTTGTCAGAAGCGCAAGAATGTCGAGATTAGCGAGCGTGTAATGAAGCTACTCCTTGAATTGGAGCCTTCAAATTCTGGAAATTACGTAATATCGTCGAGATTATATGCAAATTTGAGGAGATGGGACGACTCAGCTAGGATGAGAATGTTAATGAAACAAAAGGGTGTTTCTAAGACTCCTGGTTGCAGCTGGATTGATATCAATTCACAACTTCATGAGTTTCATGCTGGTGATGTTTTGCATCAAGAGTGGATTGAAATCCAACAAATCCTAGACCTGTTGATTGATGATCTGAGGAGGGAAGGTTATATTCCTAATACCACTCTTCTTTAGTTAGACTAACTTTCATTCATGCTCATTGTTTTGTTCTGTAAGATGAAGTTCAAACACAAATTTTACATCAAGGCATCGACATTTGCGACCTAGAGCTGCTCGGGCGTCATATTTATACCTGTTGAAGCCCAAAGAATTTGGTTCGAGGCCGAAAAATTCTGTAAGATGCTCCACAAATCTTCTTTTTGCTGATACTCGATATCCTTATGCTCCTATATGTAGTTGTAACTTATATTATACCTACTCATTGAGGAATTTGGACTAGCATGAATGCATATTGAGCGGTTTCTTTATACGTAACGGCCCAAGCCCATCGGTAGCAGATATTGTTTTCTTTGAGCTTTCACTCAAGATTTTAAAAGCGCGTCTGCTGAAGAGAGGTTTCCTGACTCTTATAAAGAATGCTTCGTTCTTCTCCCCAACTGATGTGAGATCTCACAATCTACCCCCTCCGGGTCCCAGCATTCTTGTTGGCACTCGTTCCTTTCTCCAATCGATGTGAGACACCCAATCCACCCCTCTTCAGGGCCCAAGCTCCAATCAATGTGAGACCCCAATCCACCCCCCTTCAGGGCCCAAGCTCCAATCAATGTGAGACCCCAATCCACCCCCCTTCAGGGCCCAGCGTTCTTGCTGGCATATTGCCTCGTGTCCCCCTCCTTTCGGGGTTCAGCCTCTTCGCTAGCACATCGCCCGGTGTCTGGGTTTGATATCATTTGTAATGGCCCAAGTCCATCGTCAGTAGATATTGTTATCTTTGGGCTTTCCCTTTCGGGTTTCCCCTCAAGGTTTTTAAAATGCGTGGAGAGGTTTCCACACCCTTATAAATAATGTTTCGTTATCTTCCCCCAACCGATATGAGACTCCAACATATGCCTTTTAAAAAAGGGAAGCTTGAAAGAAAAAGCTCAAAGAAGACAACATCTAATAGCGGTGGGCTTGGACTATACAATATCAATATTTGATTGTGGTGAAGAAAGGCTGAGTGCCTGCCTTGTCCCTTGGTAGATAATCATTTTATGTTTTTTGAAATACAGATCCTTTTAATGTCAATTTAGTTATATGTATAGATATACCAAATTTGTACGAAGTCGGGTACATTTTCTCTGATTTTCTTGACGTCCAAAGTTTAGTAGGGGCATTTTATGTAATTGATTATGTCCTACCCTTAGACTTTGAGTCAAAAGAATCTTTTTTTGCTATAAATATTTTATTCAACCATCTTAGACGGTTGAATTTTCTTAGAAAATCGTAAGAGCAATTTATATTGAAAAAACTTGTGTTGGTCTATAGGGTCCGTCTTTACTCTCTAAAACGTGTAGGTAGTGCCGTCAAGCCACTTAGGATATAAAAAAAATACCGAGACCATCAAGAATCGAGTCTAAATTTCAAATATTGGGGTTGAAGCATTACATTGAAGATCAACTTTGCCACGATAAATAACAATATCGACGATGATTCAATTGAGCAATCCAATGAAAACCCAACAAATGAATCATTGTCTTTTAGAATTTGATGTTGGCCAAGAACTCATATGGGGGATGATAATATAAAATATTTAATTCTAGTGCTTTTGGGCATGTGTTTGCAACATTATTAGAATATTGATAGTGGATTTGGACTTGGAATCCAACTTCCATTAGATTCCCCTCTCTTTCTCCCAATTCCACTTGCAAATCTATTGGTACAACATTAAATTACTAAGATCCGGATTAGGGATGCTAAATATGAGATAATTATCACAAATTATGCATCTTATCTTATTTTTTTCTAAGGGATTAACTACCAGATATGCATTGTTAGTGGCTTAATTCCCTTCCTTAAAATTTAATCAACAATATTGACATAAATGATATTTACGTAGGACTTTTATAGATTTTTTTTTAAACTTCCTACGTGTTCTATGTGTACCGAATATTAAATAACGACTCTCCATAATACATGTACTATTACTATAGTGATACATGAATAATTTAATATGCGTATAAATTTAACTCTCCTAACTCTTCAATTATTAATTAAATACATGTAACTATATAGTTATCAATCTGTCTATCTATATATATAATATAAAATAATTGAAAGTGAATAGATTTATTTAATTAAAAGTTCAAATTTGTTCCACTGCCTGCCATTACACAAACCATGGAGCCTTTGCCATTGAAATATTGTGCTATCAACTTCAATGTGTACTTTTCCTCATAACCAACATTACAACTATTTTAATAATGAAAAATGTTCCATTTATGTTTAAAGTAAGTTATCCACATATAATATAAATTTAAATTAGTTTCTTTTCAAAATGCCAAATTTAAATAAATAAATAAATAAATAACAATTTGACATATACTTTTAAAATCGGATATCTATCTGGTCCCTAAATTTATCATCCTTATCACGTTTTGGTCTCCATAATTTACAAGAATCCCTTTTGTTCATTTAGTTCAGAGATTAAAGATTAAAACTGTAATACCTCAAGTCTACCACTACTAAATATTGTTCGTTTTGACTTGTTACGTATTGCAGTCAGCTTCACGGTTTTAAAACACGTCTGTTAGGGAGAGACTTACATACCCTTATAAGGAATGCTTCGTTTTCCTCTCTAACCGATGTGAGCAAACTATTCACCCTTGTAAAATTTAGGCGGGCAATCCAAATTGTGAGATTCTACATCAATTGGAGAGAGGGAACAAAACATTTCATTATAAGAATGTGGAAACCTCTTTCTAACAGACGCATTTTAAAACTGTGAGGATGATGACGATACGTAACAGACTAAAAAGAAGACAATATTTATTAGCGGTGGACTTGAGTTATTACAAAAACCTAAAATTTAAAGGTATAAGGACTAACTTATTCAGATTTAAATCTCGAGATATCTTTAGTATCATGTTTATTATTTAACGGGTAAAAAATAATAATTTGTGGAAAGCACTCAAACATATAATATAATAATTGGAAGAACAAATGAGAAAGGGAGTTAGAAAAGTAGTGATGGGTGGGATTCTCCAATGAACATGTAAAGATGTGTAGAGAAAATGATCATAAAAAGCATAGTGGAAATAATATCAATATGCATTTAGAGTGGGAAGGGAGGCAAACAACTTTACAAAAATCACACAAAGCCATGCCTTTAGGAATGCCTTACCATCTTTGGTTCTTTCTCAATTATTTCTTTCAATAATTCGCCACTACGTTTATATTTATAATCATTTCCGATCTAAAATAATTCAAAACTTTGTCACGATTTAGCGTTATTGGTCAGATTAAAAAAATCTAAACGATCTGAACTTTAAACACTGTGTCAAAAGAATTTTGTTTTTTTCTCTTTTTTTTTTTTTTTTTTGTCTTATTACTTTTTAAATATTTCAGCTCGATTCAACTCAATCCAACTCATGAATGCTTCTAGATATCGTCGTTTTGATTATATTTTTAAATATATAAAAATAAAAAACTAAATTTGTAATGGTCGTTAAATAAATAAGTAATTTAAATAGTTATCAAAGGAGAGCGAAAAAGTCAGAGCACTTTTGAAAAGTGCTAATTTGGAGAGTAGGCGATGGATCAGATATGAATGAAGTCAACCTCGGATAGATTTAAAATATTTTAATTTTATAAGAGAATGGTATATTTTTTTTATTTGCAAAAAGGTCCCAAATCATTGGCTAAACTTCCAACTGCCCCAAAGTTTTCAATAATATAATATAATTATATATTTAATATTAAAAAGATTATGGAGGAAAATATAATTTTTTTAAGATTCCCAAAAAAAACTTTGTTACAAAAAATAATGTCATTATTCTAAGGAATAAAAAGGAAACAATATTTTATTAATTATTCTGTACCATAGAAAAGGAAACAAGTTGATATTGACTAAAATAATAAAGTTGTAAAATAAAAAAAAAAAACTAATTTTAGTAGCCATTCTTTTCAAATATCCTTATTTTTCTATTTTAAAAATTTATTTGAGTTTTCAAATTTTTTATACAAGAAAATCATGCACCGAGACAGGTAGGAGAGAAAAGCATATTGGCTAGTGATTATGAGGTCCCAATTTTTGAGTGAACGGGACACCAAAGGCCTCTATCCTCGGAGGGTAGAGCAGAGCTTCTCTTGATTTTTTCATGTTGTTAACGAGTTAGAACAATAAGTTTTCGTATTATCAAAGAGTTGAACAATGTAAATAGATAACGTGACTAATCAAATTGATTGGGTCATGTAGGAACAAGGTTCAAGTCTATCGGTATATTAGAATGTCTTAGTTGCATACATCACTGCATTTCCACCTAACATCTATCATGATGATAAACAGCTCATCCCGTTGTGACCTTCTCTTCAATTCTTAAGATTACCTATATTGCTCTATAGCCGCAGGAGTAGAGAACCCATCGCTGTTTCGACTATGCTATAAGAGGTTTTGGGGAAGTCGGAATAGAAGAGCACTCATATTGAGGCGGGCTTATTATTTAGATACTTTCAGCAGTTATCTGCTCCGCACTTAACTACCTAACGTTTATCGTGTGTGGTATAAAAGAAATATCGACTACGTAAGTATATCAAGTAGACTCGATCGTATTATGATGGATAAGTATTGAACCAAAAATTTGATGCTCAAATTGGGCACCAACTATGGTCTATAATTCTTGCATTTATTACCTATAGAGGAAGGAAAACAAGATTCGTTCATCAAAAGATTAAACCACTAAATTTAAATCCCAATCATATTATAATGTTGTCTCATCACTACAAAAAAGAAAGGGCCCTTCTTTAATTTTGTTGAATGTCTTTTCATGTTTTCTTTACTTCTTTCATTTTCATCAAAACCTTTTTTTTTTTTTTTAATGCTTTTTAGGGTTTTCTTTTCATACCAAATTATTGAAATTAAACAATTCCTTTACTTAGTACAGCTAGGCGGGTATCAAAATTTGAACTTACGACTTCAAAACAAGAAGTACGTCTCAATTATCACTAAATTATAGTCACACACGCATACATTAAGACCACATCTGAATGAGAACGATCTTGAAGATAGAATGACTAAGAAATACTTAAATTTTTCTTTTTGCTCGCTTAGTCATATGAACTTCAAAACTAAGCGTATTTTATTTGAGTCAATGTTAAATCTTGTTCGGTATGAACGGAAGATTTTTAAATTGAAGAATTTTAAAAGTTGACGTACCAAAAGAAAAAGAAAAAAAGGTAAATCAAACTAAATCAAATTTTTAATTTTTAAAAGACCAAGTACAAAGACAATAAAATAATTAAGGAATAATTAAAATTAAGATAAAGTAATTAAAGAATATCAAGTTTATTAATTAGTATTGGGTGTATTTTCTAGAATATATTTTTAAAACATTATTTTGTAGACTACTTTTTCAAAATGATTTTATTTTCTTTTTAATTAAAATTTTATTTATAAATCCATGTTCCATGGGTCCCTTTACATTTCCTTAACAAATGTCACCCACAATATTACCATTTATAATTGGCGATCCTCAACTTGGATTTATTTATTTATTTAATTCTTAAACTTTGACATATTTATTCAATAAACGTTCATTGATTCACCACTAACAGCAATAAAGTTTATAAATAAGATTCGAACATGTTGTTTTTAAAAGAAAATATATTGTATGTGTCATAAATATAAAGACTAAATTATTAAAATGAGACGGTACGATAAAATATGAGTATTAGAAGTCAATACATATCCAATTTTCATAAGAACATTCTAAAGAACAATGTAGCAAAAGGTAAAGAATTAGCATTGGGTTTTAAGGAGTTATTATTTATCGAGTAAATATTTTGTTTCTATGTGGAGCTTAGGGTTTAAAACGAGCTCTAAATTTAGTGATTGTCGATCTAAAATTTAACAATAACTACCAATACCCTAGATTCAGAATCCAGATTCAGCATTTAATGACCCTAACATTCCCTTGCATCTCCTGCAACACGACTCCTCGTTTCATTCCCACGTAGAGTCATTTCAACATGCAAATATTCAATTTCAAATTTTCGATGATTGAGCCACAGAAAAAGAATGTGTGTTTTATTGGTATAGATAATAACTTTCTAAGTCAACCCATTTTCAGAATCACTCTTATTCAAATGTAATCCTAGTTTATTCATATACTTCTCGTTTATTCGAGTCTCACATGAATATCCTACCAGTTTCGTTGGCAAGGATCAAATAAAACTTTACTTTGGGTATTAAATTCATACATGCATATGGATATGATCAATGTAGATGAGTTAGAGAATATATGCAAAACGAAAAGGGGTAAGAAAAACAAGAAGATAGGTGGAATCACATGTGGTTTCCAAATTGGTTTAGGTAGAGAGAGATGATGATAATGATGTGGGTTTCCCACTAATCTATGTCTCATCCAACTCCTAAGCTTTGTTTATATTATGTTGTTTGGAATTGTATTCCATTGAATATACTTTCATATTGTTCTTTATTATTGTTCATGATTATTTTTGTTTTTTCATGATTCCCTCATGAATGCCCCCACCATTGATTCCTTCTACTACTTAAGGTGTGTCAGCTTTGTTCTTCTCTTGCATACACCTAAAGCTCAACAACAACCCTTTTGCCTTCCTCTCTAAGGTTTGCTTCACCTTCCTTCAAATTTTCAATTGCTAATAAGCTATAAGTTTCCTTTTACTTTCCTTTCCTTTTTTAATAGTACCAATCTCTCTCTCTTAAGGTGATTTCAACTCTCGTTTATCGAACCCTTTTTGTCTTTCTTTCTCTTTCCATCTTCGAGTATCAACTTATGTGTCGATGTTCTATTCGATGGGATGATATATAAATCAGATAGAAAATCGGAGAGATGGCTGAGTGGTTGATAGCTCTCTAGTTTTGAAAACTAGTATAGTTCGAAACAAGAACTATCGTGGGTTTGAATCTCTCTCTCTCTTTAGTGGATTTGTTTATTTATTTTATTGGTTTTGTCGGACTCAGTATTATAAATGAAGAAAGGAAAAGAGAATACTTTTAAAATATATCACGATCTGTCGACATGTTTGAGAGTAATTTCAAAATGGTTGAAACAGCTTTTGTCAGTGTGGAATCGACATGTTTGAAAGTGACTTTAGAACGGTTAAAACTACTTTTATTAAGTTTAAATTCGCAACCGAGATATTATTTTTATTGGGTAGAAAATCACGTTTAAATTGGTTTTGAATGATATCATTTCAAAATCACTATCAGACATACGAAAAGTAAAGCAAAAAGAAGTTTTTTTCGAGCTTTCGAAGGATATAAAAGGTATTAAAAAGAAGTACGTGTATATTTTTGTAGGGAAAGTTGGAGAAAATTTGTTTGAGAAAGAAAAAGGAGAAGACAATAATAATGGTGGGTGAGGTGGCAATGGAGAAGAATAAGAAAGTAAGGAGAGAGAACAAATTTGAAAGAAGCCATTTTGATGTGTTGGGAATTTGCTGTTCTTCAGAAGTTCCTCTCATTGAAAACATCCTCAAACCCCTAGAAGGAATCAAACAAATCTCTGTTATTGTCCCGACAAGAACTCTCATTGTCGTCCATGATTCCCTCCTCGTTTCTCAGCTTCAAATCGGTACTCTTCTCTTCTTTGACTTCTTAATCGATAATATATGTCTTAATCAGTTGAACCATGTTCAAATTGGACTAACTATTAATATTTATTAAAAAGTTGGACCTTTTTAGTTTATTTCATCAAAATCTGTAACATAGAATCGAAACCTATCATATCACTGATGACATCGTTTGTTATCGAACTTGATAGTGAAAGCACTAAATGAAGCAAGATTGGAGGCAAACGTACAATTAAAAGGAAAGGGAATTAGCAAGAAGAAATGGCCAAGTCCTTTTGCAATAGCCAGTGGGTTGCTTCTAACAGCATCCTTTTTGAAGTATGTCTACCACCCATTGCGGTGGCTGGCCGTCGCTGCGGTCGCCGCCGGCATCTTTCCCATTCTCCTAAAAGCCATTTCCGCCGTTCGCCATCTGAGGATCGATGTCAACATTCTTGCCATTATTGCTGGTAAAGTTTCGTTCTTGGGCGTTTGTAAAAATTAAGATCGAAAAGTGGAGTTTATGTTTGATATGTGTATGGCAGTGGTGGGGGCAATGAGTATGAATGACTACATGGAAGCTGGGAGCATAGTGTTTTTGTTTTCCATTGCTGAATGGCTTGAGTCAAGAGCAAGCCACAAGGTTAGCAAAACAATGATTATGAATTCAAAATGGGTTTAGTTTAAAGTGAACTGTGTTAATGAAAAAGTTGAATTGAATTAGGCGAATGCTGCAATGTGGTCGCTGATGAGCCTGGCCCCTCAAAAGGCCACCATAGCTGAAACTGGAGAGGTTGTGGAGGTAAAAGAGGTGACATTGAAGAGTGTGTTGGCAGTGAAGGGTGGTGAAGTTATTCCCATTGATGGCATTGTTGTGGATGGAAAATGTGATGTTGATGAGAAATCTTTGACGGGAGAGACTTTCCCAGTTCCCAAACTTAAAGATTCTCTTGTTTGGGCTGGTACCATCAACTTAAATGGTATTATATCTTCTTCCTTCCCCGTATAGCTTTCAAAAGTTGCAATATTATCTTTTAAACGATAATTGAGACTTGAAATAGTGTGGTGGTGATGTGGATTGGAAATTGAGACATGAACTCCCAACCCCACCGCTACAAGATATTGTCCTCTCTCAACTTTTCCTTTTGGACTTCCCTTTTAAGGTTTTTAAAACGCTTATGCTAAGGAGAAGTTTCTACGCCCTAATAAAAAAATGCTTTATTCCCCTCTCCAACCCATGCGAGATTTGACAATCCCCACCCCTTTGGGGCCTAATGTCCTCGTTCACACACTGTTAAGTGTCTACCCACTCTCGAGACTTAGCGTCCTCGCTAGTACACTATTTAGTGACCACCCCCTCTGGGGCTCACTGTCCTCGCTGGCACACCTAATGCCTAGCTCTGATACCATTTATAACAATTCAAACCCTTTTTAAAACGTGTTTAATAGGGAGAGGTTTTTACACTCTTATAAAGAATACTTTGTTCACCTCTCCAACCGATATGGGATCTCTCAACGTCCTCGCTGGCACACCGTCCAGTGTTCACCCCTTTCGGGGTTTAGTGTCCTCATTAGCACACCACCTTGTGTCTGGCTCTGATACTATTTGTAGCAGCCTTAGCCCACCGCTAGCAGATATTGTACTCTTTGGGCTTTCCCTTTTAGACTTTCCCAGAAGGTTTGTAAAATGCATCTGCTAGGGAGAGGTTTCCCCATCCTTATAAATATTACAACGGAGGTGGGATCTCACATTCCACCCCTCTACCCTATCCAAAATTCCAACTCATCTATACCTTAAGGGGTAGTTTGGAAAGAAGTTAATGATTATTCCTTCTCTTTTAGGTGATCCATGGATTCTTTTGTAGGTTATATTAGTGTTCAAACCACTGTTGTTGCTGAGGACTGCGTGGTGGCAAAGATGGCTGAGTTTGTAGAAGAAGCTCAAAACAACAAATCAAAAACTCAGAGATTCATTGATGAATGTGCCAAATATTACACTCCAGGTACCCCTTACACTTCTTATCCCAAAACCATCGCTTTGGGATTCAAGCTCAAAAACACAGCATGTTTTTGTATGCAGCTGTAGTTGTCATATCAGCTTGTGTAGCAGCCATTCCAGCTGCATTCAGAGTTCACAATCTCAGCCACTGGTTTCACTTAGCTCTGGTGGTCTTAGTGAGTGCATGTCCCTGTGCCCTTATCCTCTCCACCCCGGTCGCCGCCTTCTGCGCCCTCACGAAGGCCGCCATGGCCGGTGTTCTCATCAAAGGCAGCGACCACCTTGAAGTTCTTGCAAAGATTAAGGTTGTAGCCTTCGACAAGACAGGCACAATCACTAGAGGTGAATTTGTGGTAACAGATTTTCAAGCTCTACGAGATGATATCAGCTTCCACACCTTACTTCATTGGTAATTGCACAAAAAACTTCTCACCCAATTCGTAATTCATTGAAATATTTCATTTCATCGATTGAAGTGTTTATGTTGAAATAAGGGTTTCAAGCATTGAGAGCAAATCAAGCCATCCAATGGCAGCTGCCCTTGTCAACCATGCAAAGCTGCTTTCTACTGATATTAAACCTGAAAAAGTTGAGGAATTTGAGAACTTTCCAGGAGAAGGTGTTCGTGGGAAGATTGATGGGAAGGATATTTACATTGGAAGTACAAAAATTGCTGCTCGAGCTGGCTGCTCGTCAGGTTTATGATCAAACCCTCTTTATCTCCAAACATGTTTTTTGTTAGGAATCACGACTCTCCACAATAGTATGATACTGTCCACTTTGACCTTATCCTCCCTTCGAACAAAGTACACTATAGAGTCTCCCCTAAGGCCTATGCATAATCGAGGCCTAGAACAGCCTCCCCTTAATCGAGGCTCAACTCCTTTTCTAGAGTCCTTGAACAAAGTACACCCTTTGTTCGACACTTGACTTACTTTTTATTACACCTTCGAGCCTAGCAACTTCTTTGTTCTACCCTTGAGGATTCTATTGACATGACAAAGTTAAGGGCATAGTTTTGAAACCACATTAGGAATCACGACCCTCCATAATAGTATGATATTGACCATTTTGAACCTAAGCTCTTATGGCTTAACTTTGGACTTCTGCAAAAAAAACTTCATACCAATGGAGGTGTATTCCTTACTTATAAACCCGCGATCAATTCTTTCCAACAATCCTCAACAGTTTCATGATCTTAATATAAACTTAATTTCTTCAGCTATGAAGTTAGAGGAGGAAATGAAACAAGGCCAAACCCTTGGATATGTATTTTGTGAGGAGATGGCTGTGGGATCCTTTGGTCTTTCGGATTCTTGTCGGTCAGGAGCTAAAGAAGGCATGGAGGAGCTCAAGAGTCTTGGCATTAAAACAGCTATGCTCACTGGGGACTGTAGTGCAGCTGCCATGCACGCCCAACAACAGGTTTTGGTTCATATTTTTGTTAAGTGAAATTAGAATCATTCAACATTCATAACGATGATGAGTTGTTTGCAGCTGGAGAACGCGGTTGATGTAATCCATTCAGAGCTTCTTCCAAAGGAGAAAGCAAATGTGATAAAAGAATTCAAAAGGGATTATGGAGCAACCGCCATGGTTGGCGATGGCTTAAATGATACCCCAGCATTAGCCACAGCTGATATTGGCATATCAATGGGCATTTCAGGTTCACCTCTCGCTACTCAAACTGGGAATGTCATCTTAATGTCAAATGACATCACCAAAATCCCACAAGCCATCAAATTAGCAAGGAAATCTCATGCAAAAGTTGTTCAAAATGTCATTTTGTCAATCACTACCAAGATTGCAATCCTTGGCTTGGCCATCGCCGGACATCCGCTCGTTTGGGCGGCCGTTCTCGCCGATGTCGGTACCTGCCTATTGGTCATCTTGAACAGCATGCTTCTCTTGAGAGGAAGTGATCATAAACATGGGAACAAATGTTGCAAATCTTCCAAGCTATGCTCGACGAAACATGGACGATGCGATGGTAGTAACACTCGACCGTCTCATCATCATCATCACGATCATCATCACCATGATCATCGATGCCATGTCGTCGATGATAAATGGCCTAGTCGAGATAATCACAATGGAGATTGTGGGGATAAATTTCATCACAATCGTTCAAATCAATGTGAGAAAACCCCACTTGAGAAAGACAACAATGGGAATTGTTCAAAGAAAGTGGGTGAACCCAATTGTAATTGCCACTCACATCATGTAGCTATCGACATACATCAAGGTATTGACTGTGAGAGAATAGAGAAGCAATAAGAAGTTTCTTATGAGGAAGCAGTGATTGGTGGAGTATGATGCGATGATATGAAATAAGGCGTCTTAGCCAAAGAGTTCGAGGTAGATGGAGAGTGTATTCTATCTGTTGTTCAAAGATGACAACTAAATAGAGTATTAATTCTCGAATTTAGAGATATTTTATTGTATTTTTCAGTTTAAGTAGTTTTTTTAAGTTTTTAAGTTACAATTAGTAAAGAGAGTTACAACTTTTCATTTAATCATGAGCTTGTTCTTATGATTTTCTTTTCTTTAAATTTGCATGTTAGAGTCATTCAATTAGCATCTATTTCATTTTGTCGTGTTTGCTCGTAATCACCCTTTCAATTTAAACCAATTTTCACTCTAGTCTAAATGTTGTTTTTAGCTTGGACAAAGCCACCAAGAATTTAAATTTTAATTAATCAATAAAAAAATAAAATATTTATCTCTTTTTAAATAAATTTAAATTTCTTGCTTTACAAATATTAGATCCATAAGTGAATTGTTGTTGATATTTTTGTGGACTAAGTTTTTGTAAAAGAGCCCATTAAGAGCCCATTGTCAAGCCCATCTCCATTATTCGATTTCAAAGCCTCCCTAGGGTTTCAACAGCTTCAATGGTGCTTCTTCTTCCCCGACATTTCTACTTCTCTCTCTTTTCAATTACCTTGCCGCTATTGCAGAGCCGATTCAATTGCCATTTCCATTTTTATTATTATTATGAACAAAGGCATTGGTGGTGGAACTGGCCCCACCGCAGCGGCTGCTGCGGCGGCAGCTCAGAAACAGAAACTGCTTCTTCAGAGAGTCGAAACCGATATAGCCAACATTGTCGACAATTTCACCCATCTTGTCAACGTCTCAAGGGTAACGCTCCTCTTTCCTTTTCTTTTTTGCTTTTGCTTCATTGTTTTCTCAACTCAATTCTTCTTCTACTACTTGGAATGGGAAATTTGTCATGTAATTCTCTTTGGTTGGTTGTTTTCCTGTTCTTGATTGAACGATCCTGCGTTCTCGTTTCCTTAGGTGAACGATCCACCTGTTAGGAATTCACAGGAATCTTTCATGATGGAAATGCGTGCGTCCAGAATGGTAAGATAATGATTTTTCCTTTTTTTGTTTACCTACTGTTTTTGCCAAGCTTATTTTAAGTTAATTTCTGGATAGATAGCTCTCTGTTTCCTTCCACAATTGAATGATAACATCTTATATGTTATTTGAAGCCTTGATTCCTAGGGATTTACTGATTTTTCAATAAAATCAGCTGCTTCTGCATCTCTTCCAGTATGTTTTTCTTCTCCTTCACCAGCAACTCCAAGCAAATTCTCTTCTTTAATTAACGTCTATGGTCTTCAAATTCGTAACCCTCCGGCGCTACCAATTGGTTCTTCAGATAAATTTACTTGAGTTACATTTTTAGCTTGAGCAGTGAAAGTTATCTCGTGGAATACTAGAGACCTTGGGGATCGTTCTAAAAGAACAACATTGAAAAATTCATTCAACGTCACTGTCTTGATATGGTGTTAGTTCATGAGACAAAGATTGCTTTTTTTTTTTTTTTTTTTTGACTGAAAG